GCCTTTGGCTGCGGACCTTGCGGCCTCGCTGGGCCAGCGGCTGGTGGATCGGGGCACCGTTAAAAGCCGCCCAGAGCAAGCCAGCTGGATAGGAATAGTTGTGAGAATCTATGGCAGAAAGTAGATGCTGCATCACTAACAACGGCAAGTATGATACTGAATGGGATATTGATGCTGGTGACGGTGGTGTTTCTGTATGGGATCGTTCTGAAAGTCCCGGCGGAGATTTTGATTTCATTCCTCATGCTCCACTAGGTGGTTCATGCAGTAGTTGGTTGTTCCCTAGTTGCTATACTGTTGAGTGAAAGTAGGGCAGGAGGTGCCTTGCAATCGGATTGCATGGGCAACGGGGGCTAAACTCTGAACAGTGTGAAAGCATTGGAGACCTGGCTGTACCTGTACACGATGTCTTTGTGATGTCTGGCTTAGCCTGATGAAGGCTGTGATTGTGACAGTGATGCTGGCCACAGTGGTGCTAAAGCTGATAGTCAGGAATGGATCATTACGTTTAGGATCGCCACACATCCACTCTGCCTTCTGTTTGGCGGTAACAGTACTGAACAGTCACCATGATGCAACGCTACGGCGGCAGTGCTGTTGATGAAGATGCAGAAGAAGTGTTGCAGCGTTGCTGGGACCAACTGGGAGGTAGTCTCCATGACGGCAACACCGAGCTGAGGCCTTGACTTGTGCTACTGTGAGCTGGGCGCGCTTGGCGTAGAGGCCTGGCCACTTGCGCCACGAAGACCATATGACTCAGGTTATCGCTAGCTTGAGGCGCCCCCTCACTGACTTGATCCTGCACAAGCTGATATGACATAAGCCTTGTTTGAGTCAGCCAATTTCAAGTGCTTAGTTTCGAGGGTCGACAGTACCGGTCGGGTCCACGCGAGTTTGCTCTCTCTTTTTTTGCGTGGGTAGCGAGCATTCTGTGTGCCGCTTTGGATAGTGGTAGTGACGTACCAGTTGGGGTCAGTGTTCTGCAGCTGCTGAGGCCTTTTGGGTGGTGACTTCCTCTTGCTAGGCCTAAGACCAGCGATGTCTTGCGTGTGTTTCCGACATAATTTGAGAAGATCCCGCTTGTAGCCCTGCCAGGTCTGTCTGCGCTGGGGTAGGTTTGGCTAATGGCCAGCGCATACAGCTAACCCTCTAACCTAAGTCCACGTAGCATGTCTACTTGTTTGTGTGTGTGTGTGTGAGACTCTAGTATTTGCCTTGTTGCTTCAGGCCTTGCTTGTTTGCTACAGGTACCCTGTTCAGGTCAGTTTATCGTCACGATTTCGAGTCTTCCTTGCGCTCTGCTTTCTTCCTGTTGCTCAAATGCTGCGGTCGGCGCCCTACACTTTGAGGGATGTCGGGGGTGACCTCCCCCGGCCTGCGACAAAGGTGCGCCGTACAGAGGTGAGTGCGGGGCTTGACCGCCCTCGTCCGGAGGTGAAGCAGATAGGTCAGCTCCCTCCTTTGCCCTCTGCGCAAACGGCCTGCAGTGCTGCGCCGCGTGCTGATGTGGGTCCCATACTGCCAACAACTGTGGTAGCTGCCCGTCCCCTGCCTTCTGCGATTCTTCCTGGGTGTAGCCTAGCGGCAGCTGAATCGGAGGAGCGTAGGCGTCTGGCCACCGCTTGGCTAGGCTTTGCAGATGTTGTGCGAAGGGACAGCAAACTGTTCATTGACCTGGGGCCTTGCCATACTGCGCGTCTTCTGCCTTTATTTCTAGATAGGGCGCCAGCAACTTTGCGGCGCCATTTATCAGGTTGGCGAGCTTGGCTTTCATTTTGCGCGAGCGCAACCTGGCCGGCGTGCCGACCAAGCCTGTCGCAGATGCTGGACTTCCTGGCCAGCCTTTCAGAGGGCGCCGTCTCAGACCGCGGCCGCCGCCGCCGCAAAACAGCACTTGGCGTACTTTCAGCGTTGAAGTTTGCGGCTTACAAGTTCCAAGTGGAGCAACTTCAAAGTGTGCTTGAGAGCCCCTTAGTGACAGCGTGGCAGAATTCCGCTGAGTGGACGCGGCAGCGAGTAAAGGAAGCGCTGTCGCTTCCTTTGGTTGTTTTGTTTCGCTTTGAGCAGGCGTTGGTCAATGGGGCCGGTGAGGATTGCCTCCTCCTGTCCGTACTATTGGTGCAAGCCTACGCTGGTCCGATGTGCAGCGATTGGACTTGGCTTCTGTTGTGCTGGGTAGCGATCATCTAGCAGGCTGGTGTTGGAGAACTAAGTCAAGCAAACGAGGGATGCCCTGGGGTTGCCTCTCCTGCGGCCTCTTGAATAGGGGATGGTCCTCGGTTTTCTTCAGGGAGGTTTGCTGCTTGCGTGATGCGTGCCCGGAGCGCGACTATGTGTTAGACTGCAAAGGGAAACCACTTGGCTATTCTGGCATGCTGGCGCACCTCCGGCGCTGCCTCGCAGTGTATGCTGGCCTGTCACCCAGCGTGGCAAGTCGGTTCACCTTGCACTCGCTAAAGACCACGCTTCTGGCCTGGTCGTCACAGTTGGAAGTTCCGGAGGTGCTCCGGGAGGCACAGGGGCACCACAGATCGGCAACCGTCTCTGAAGCGTTATTCTCGCGATGACATCAATCCTCAACTCAGTTGCCAGCGCAAGGTGGTCGTCCAACTGCGTGACGGCTGGAGCCCTTATGTGCCTGTGGACAGAGGTCTTGGCCGTGTGGATGCCGCGGTCTTTGAGGCCTACGTGCCCGCACTTCCCCAAGTGGAAGGGGACGCAGAGCCTGGCGAGCTGCCGTCCGACACTGAGGCAGAGTCTGTGGAGGCCGGAGTTGCGGCCGACTCCACTAGTGATGTTGAGCAGGGTTCGGAGTTTGAAAGTGACTCGGAAGCTAGTGTGGCTAGCGTGGCACCTACACTTGCAGATCTGGCTGACCTGGACGGCAGCTGGCTTCTGAACACAGTTTCCGGTTGCGCTCATAAGTCCGTGTGGTGCAGCGAGCTTGAGACATGGGTGCTGGCGTGCCGGCCAAGCTTCAGCTCGGGAAGCAGTATGAGCACTGGACATGCAATCCATGCTTTCACGGTTTTAGGTCATGCGGCCATTCGGGCTGTTGGAGCTCTTGCTGAGACAGCCCAAGTGCTTCTTCGGATCCTTTGGGGATCCTGATTGGACATTTGGCCTGGGGTTGGCATGCGCATGCTTTTGTTTGTATAACAGTGCACTGCCCTTTGGGGGCCTGTCGTCGCAGAGGCTTTGGGCTTTTCTGCCGCGCTTGTCATACGACTGATTGTATTTTTTGTGCACAGCCCTTTGGGGGTCTGTCACTCCGCAGGGGTCTTTGGACCTTCTGCTGCGTTGTCTATTTGAGCTTTGGGCTCCTCTTCTTTGGGATCAGTTTCCTCGCAGGGGCTTTGGGCCTTCCTGCTTTTCTATTCTCGCAGGAGCTGCAGGAATTGATGACATTACCCATGGCTTTGTTCGTCGGATCAGCGTGCGTATTGCATTGCATCGCTAGTGTGCGTATAACCGCTCTGCGTTGTTTCCTTGCTTGCTTTGTGCTCCTTGTCATGTCTGCGAACAGTGCAGCCTCGTGGCGTACCACCATGGTGCAAGCCGGGGTGCAGGAATCCATTGCCGATGCGATTATTCGGCTCGGCTATGACGAGGAGGGTTTGTTCCGCGCTGCGTTTGTGGATCAGCAAGCCTTTGAGGGTTGGTTGAACAAGCTACGCCACAAGATTGGCGATGCAGCTCTGGCTGCGCTCAGTGATGAGGATTGGAGCACTCACCCTCACGCTGCCCGCCTGCGTATGTTATGGAAATCCGGGATGCCCGCGCAGCCGCCCTCCACTCAGGCTACACCGGATGCATTGGCTTTGGTCCCCGCCGGTTCCTTGCCGGGCGCGGGAACTAAGTTAACTGCCGCTGGGCGTGAGCAAATGCGGCGCAAGCTGGAGAAGGATTACTCCTCCTGTGTTGTGACCCGCGAGACACTCCCCGCACTGTGCTTCCTTCAGTCCATCCACCAGCAAGCCGCCGACAAATTCTTCGAGTGGCTGCCGTGGCGGCGCATCCTCAGCGAGGAACAGTTGTTGGAGGTCAAGGCCCGCCGGAGCAGGTCTACCTCCGATGGCCCAGCGCCAGATGAATGGGACATGGAGCTAGCCGGCGCAGCCTTGCGGGTCCAACAGACCCTGGAAACCAGGGCGCACGCGTTCGCAATGGTCTCAGCCTGTCACCTTCATTCCTGGGTTGTGTACACGAAGAAGTTTATGGCCCTATATGCTCGAAAACCCTCTGAGATGTTTCGGGCACCCACAGTACAAGAAGCCGAAGCTCGCTTGTCCTTGAAGAGGTGTTTCAGCTGTGCTTCTCTGGACACACCCTCGATGATGCCTTGACGAACATCGTTGTGGACAGGGATATGCTTCGCCATGTCCTTATTGAGCGGCCGAAGGTCTTGAAGGCAAAGAGGGAAAAGGCCCATGTGCCCCCTCCACCTGCCCCTTCCGGCCTGCCGCCTCTGCCTCGCAGGACAGGGGGCAAGCGTCAACTTGGCAGTGCGGGTTTGGGGCGCCAAGCCCCCAAGCGTGTGCGCAATGGGGAGTGTTGGCTGTGGGTGGATGGCAAGTGCGCTAATCCGAATTGCCGCTTCAAGCATGAGTGCGCTGTGTGCGGGGACAAGTCGCATCATGCAGCTGTGTGCCCCCAGCAGCAGTCGGTTAGGTACTGAGGGTTCCTACACTGCAAGAGCCTTTCTTCGTCAAGGCCATAGTCTTTGCTGGGTCTTCAACGGCCTACGTGTTGAAGTGCCTCTGCGACTACAGCTCAGGAACACTGTTTGCATTCTCTTGACCATGCCCACGCTAGCCTCTGGCTTCTGGTAAAGTTCCAAGATTCCTGCAGAATAAAGAACAGACTCAATGCCTGCACCCCCCTGAGGGCTGAACAAATAAGCGAACCTTACTCTAGGGGTGTTTAGGTTCTACACCGTCAAGCCGAATGCAGATTCACCCAAGATCGACGCAGTTGCCCCCGTGCAAGCCTAGTGTCAGGCATTAGCATCGTCGCTTGCGCGGCCATCAGGGCTTCAACAGCTGTCGCGGCTTGTCATGAAGTGAGTCTTTGGGGCACGTGTTGGGCTTGCGAACCCAAGTGCCGGCCCTACACCCCAAACCTTAAATCCTAACTATCCTGATTCATGAAACTGTTCCTTCCGACAGATCAGGTTGGGTGCCAACACCCTAACTGCAAGGGGCGCAGCTGCAGCGGCCTCGTTAGCTACTGGAGCCCTGGGCAGCAACGGAGCATAGGGATCTAGGAAGTAAGGGTTTATGTAAGGTTAGAAGTATGGGCCCCTAATGTGAGCCCTTCGGCCTTTTAGGGAGATTCTAGGGACCCTCGAGGGTACATATAGGGTGTAGAGTAGGTGTAGGGATCCCAGGGTTAAGGGCCCTTAGTATGGGCCCAGGGTTTCAACCTTAGAGTTCAGGGAGGTTGAGGTTTCAATTAGGGTTTGCCCTAAACCCTAAAACCCTACACCGCATTAGGGTTTCGGGTGTAGGATTTAGGGGTCGGCTTAGGGCTTACGATTTGGAAATTTTGGGCCTTGGTCTGGGATGGAGGGCTTAAGGTTCAGATTTCAATTCAGATATTTCCCAAAGTAGGGGGACCCCAATATAGACCCCAATATGCTATAGTTTTTGTTATAGGGCCTCAAAAAGATTTCGCTAATTTTGGGAAATTCCCATACAAAGTGGTTCAAGTTTAGGCTGCCGTGCTTTTAGAAGCCATCCGAACAATGGAGGGCCTCTCAGAACAGACTAGCCTTGAAATCCATTTGAGCCATAATCTAAACTCCTTAAAGGGGGTTTTGAGGGGGATAATCAAGGGGACTAGTATAGGGGAAGGGGGATACTAGGAGTTTAGACTATAGCTCATTTCACAGCATCGAAATGCCGCAAGTTCAGGAACCACATTACCAGGAGTTCGCATTTCCGTCCTGAAGCTTGTAGGGACCTAAACCCTACACCCTGAACCCCTAAACCCCCAAACCTTTCTAAACCCTTAAACCCCTAAACCTTTCTCCTCGAGGACTCAAACGCCTGGACTTGGAACTCAATGAGCTCGGGGATGAGGCACGCTTCCACGTTGCTGGACCTATATAAGCCACAATCTAAACTCCTTAAAGGGGCTATATAGTGGATTATATCGGGGACTACTATAGGGCTTATTAAGGGGGATACTAGGAGTTTAGACTATAGCTCATATGGTAGTTTCCCAAAATGAGGGGACCTCAATATAACCCAAAAATATTAGAATCCTTATCATAACGACCCCTAAAAAGGGACCCATAATTTCAGGAAACCTCCACATACAACTCTTAATACTCAACAGGGATTCAGGGTTTAGGGTTAGGAGAGTTGGGGTTATGTATATCTATCCTTACACCAAAAACATTTGGGCCGCACGGTCAAGGTTTGTGGTTTAGGTATGTGCATGTATACAAATATGGGCTTTGTTTCCTGCCAGTTTATGACCTACTACAGTCCAGTAAGGAACATCGATTTCTAGTTTGGGGAATCATCTGAGCTCATGCAAGGAACGAGTCCTTTTGACCTTTTAATAACCTGCCCGCAAATAGTAAACACCCCCAACTAAGAAAAAATGCACTACATATCAGGTCTCTTGCAAGGAAAATCTACTCACCACGAAGAACAAAAACCACACCCGCAACAGTCGGTATTTCCAGTACAGTACCATTATAAGCGCGGGGGGAATATCAGTAGTTAGTTGGGGGATTGACTATTAGGGGAGGGGATTGGTATTTGGGGTGAGGGTGGTGGAAATTGCAGGTTAATCCGTTGCCTCAAGCGTACAGTCCATTTAAGGGATCCAGCTATACAGTATCATTTATTGTGTGATTCGGGGCGTTGTTGTTTGTAAGGCATTTTGTATGATGTCCGATTCCGGCGCTAAGTGCCTCAAACCCCTAACCATTGCATGATCATATCCTGGTCCTAGGAGGCCTCGGACGTGTTACAGTTGTTTGAAGGCTCCCTGCTGCTTTCTTTCACTGAGCGTTACAGAGGTTGATTGGGCTTTAGCTGGAGTATGACAGGGGTCCTAGATCTATCCTAGAGTTAGTGGGAGGAGGTGGGCCAATGGGCTGCTCAGCAGCATCCGGCATTTGAGGTCTGGAAAGGGTGTCTTTTCTCAAGAACCTGCCAGCACCGTTGGAGAAGAAATGTTCGGCCGTTTTAGCTCTACTGGCAGCTGCCACGTGCTTGCCGGTCCTTGTAGCTCATATCTTCTTGCCCGAGGTTTTTGCATGTCTCTGTCGCAGTTACAGTAGGATTCCCTGCCGCTGAACGGGACTCTCCGTGTTGAGACACTTATGCTTGGAGGGTCATGGGGACTTAGGAATTCATTAGGTTAATAGCGGGATAATTCTGACCCTGCAAGTACACTTCTGAACGCAGACTTCTTGCATTTGTAGCCTTAATTAGCCTTCACCTCTGCATCAAATCGCACCTCGAAGCCCTGAAGGGCTGCAAGCTGGTGTCACAGAAGGCTCGCTCATGCACTTCACGGGCATTGGGGGCCAAGGGGGGCAGACGTTGCTGATGTCCTGGCAAACAGGGGTTTGGGCTTGGTGCCTAGAGGTCAGGGTTTGAGAATCAAAGCGTGAGAGTGTGGGGCTTTTTGGAGTAGAGCACTGATACCACCGGCGTTTTACCGGGATTGATAGCCAACCTTCCAAAGATCTCCACAACAGACTGTGGTTTGCCAACTATTGTTGGGGGCTGATTTTCGGCAGAGTGTCGCGTAAGCGGGAGTGTCAATGCCCGCCCATGTTCATCACTTTTGCCATGGTCAGTGTTGGGCTGTTCAGCAAGTTTGGGCGTGGAGCACGCAGACTTGATTATAGGTTTCGTGTGCATACCAGAATTAAGTTACAATACTTTCGGCGCAGGCCTTCTGAACGTCTTACCATGTATGTTCACTAACAGGTTCCTGGACAATGCAGGACTTGGACCTTCTGACTAAATGACAACATGCCTTAGAGCTTGGAACAGAGTTCGGAGCTGCATTTTCTCAGGGAGGTTTCTAGATGTCCTAAGCGTTCGCAAAATGTGGATTTCCGGGTGTCAGGCTGAAGTTCGTAGCGATGTAGGGATCTGCCAGAAAGGCCGGCTAGCAAAGGCAGTCGCGTGGGGGTTGCAAACTGTTGGTTTCACTGGTAGCAATGTTATCCTCGACCTCCCATGGCGCTGCAAGTCCTACTGTTTAGGATTTGAAAGTTGCAAAGTGATTTGGCAAGGGAGCCCCTTCGACTAAACCTCCTCACATGGCTTTCCAGGTGGTGCAGTTAAGCACCTGTGCGCTTTGTCAGTCCCTACTCACCAGGTTCTACTACGTGTCAGCTGCACACTGCAACATCTCGAAGCTCAGCGGCATTCAGACCCTGCCCGGGGGTGCGCGGCCTAAGGTTCAGAATATGCTGGCAGTGTTTTTGCCAGGCTTGTTTGCTGAAAGCCGTGGCCACTGTCGGGTATTCGCCTGAGTTGAGCCTTTCTGTAGGATACTTGGATGCGTGGTCAAAGCCATGGAGCATTTCAGGGTGCTGTAGAATAATACTACTGCCAGAGCAGCAGCACAGATTTGGGCCCTAAACCAATTTCAACAGCCATTCACATCCTTTGGTGATCTAGCATGTTTGGCTCCGTGCTTCCTCAAACCTTCGTCCCAACCTGCTCGGGGCGTACCCATCGCTCATTCAACCAAGGTAAGCATCTTAGAAAAGCATCTACAGAAATGCGCAGACATTGCACCAACCACCGCAACAGTCCTGATGCGGTACATTCCATCTTCATGCATGCTAGGTATACTCCCCTCAAATCCTACGACCCTATTCTATGATTCTGACCCTAAGCGGAGGACATTTAACACAGAACAGAATCCTAAACCCTAAGCCCTAGACCATAAACTGCCTTGTACAGAATCCTCTGCAGGATCTCAGCATGAATTCCATCGGCCCCGACGGCGCCATGTCTTTGGCCAGCGCCATTAGGGCCAACTCGCAGCCCGGCAGAATGGAGGGGTTCACGGCTTCCAAGGTTTAAGGATATCTAGGGTTACACAGGGTTGAAGGTTGAATAGGCACATGCAGAGATATATGTAGAGACAGGATGTAGACTTTCCAAAAATGGAGGGACGTCGCCCAATCATGGGAAATCAAATGGCAGAGCACATGGGGAATGGAATGGAAACTGGGGCTATATGAATCAGATAGGCTGTGCTAGTGCTGAGTAGGGCAGCGAGCGATGGAAAAGGTAATGGAAACTACTACAGCATTCAGGGTTCAAGGATGTTAGTTGGGAAAAAATCCACCTAAACCCTAAACCCTAAAATCCTAAACCCCAACAGTATGTTCAAGAATGTATTATCTTTGCCATGCCCTCAGGGTTCGCATCTTGTTAATGGAGCTGAGGGAAGGAATGACGTGAGGTTGCACAGAGCGGAGACACGCGATGGTTCAGAAGCCAAGAATGCCAAACATCCTCATTTACAGACGGAGATCGTATGAAAAAAGCCTGGGGAGATGAGTCATAGGATGTTACCTGCTGTCTTGAGCCCCAGCCTCCCGAAAAATCTTTCTGCAGGTTCTAGTGGAACTTCCAACAACTGGGGCTCCCTTTCGGAGATGCCATGATAATTTAGGATGATCATATATTGATGCCCTTTCTTTGGAAAACCCCCATATGATCTGCAATTTCATGGTTTCGTGCCAGCGGGCGTCAGTTGAGTCATGTCAGGGGTTGAGGTTGCGTGGATGAGATGGTATCATGTAGAGAAGCAGTAATAGCTACCAAGGTTATGGTCCAGGGTTCCATGTATAAGTATAGAATAGAGTACCTCACATAGACCTCACAGTGATAGTTTCCATTTTTCCATCATCCCTATATTATCCCAATATTACCCCTAATTTTCCCCCAATATGGTACCTCAAAATCATATAGGTAATTGTTTGGACCCCTGCATTCTGCAGGGTTGCGACTGACTTTGAAAACAGGGTCTGGGCCTGCACTGTCACGGGAATTTCAGTTCCTACCCAGCACCCCAACATACTATGGTAGTTTCCATTTTCTTTTCCATTGTCCAACATGACCCTATGTAATCCCAACATATGGCCTATCATAGTAGTTTCCAAGTAAAGTGATGCATGTTTTGGGACTCTTGGAGTAGTCACATAGTTCCAGGTTACCGCTGGGAAGAAGCATTAGCAAGGACCTCCGAAGATTGTGCAGACAACGGCACCATCGCTTTCAGAGCTCACATCCCTGAAGACAATTCGTGGTTCCAGTCGTATTTGGTGTCCAGAGTCGAGGACAACGTCCTGCGCGCATCTAAGTCAGGAACCCTGGGCACGTACATCAGTCATGATTTTTAGGCCATGGTCCATGGTTTTCTGAAGTGAGAGTTAGATTCCAGTACAGATTCCAGTGCTGTAGATGCCCACGTGTCCCTCTGAAGAATGTACCTTACTTGGGTTAGCCAGGACACAAACACCGAAGTGGTGTTGCAGGTGTCGAACCTCAAAACTGTCAAGCACAGCCAACCAGCCTCACGCCGTCCCGTAATCTCTTTATGTAACGTTCCACCTCGCCTCGTATGAGGACACATTAGTTTTGTAAGTATGTGGCAATGGTACAAGAGACTGTCACCTTACAAAATCTGGAGCCTAAACGCTAAACCCTAAACACTAAACCAAAGCATGACCGCCAGGGCCCTCACGCGCCTCAACCTCGGCTACAACCGAATCGGATCTTCAGGGGCGGAGGCATCCTCATAGTAGCGATGTAGCACTCAGGCTAGGACACAACGGAAGCAATCCTTGCAATATTCTCACTATTCTTATTGTTATTACTATTATTGTTATGACTGCTACTGTTATCATTGTTATTGATATTCTTGATTATTGAATTATTGCTGTTATTACCACTATGAATGTCGAGAGTACTGTTGTAACCCCCAGAGTAGACCAATGGAAGCAAAGCTTTGGTGTTCTGCTCTGCTCTTCTTCACTTTTGCATTATTGTTCCTCGGGACTGTTTCTACTGTTATAGCGAGTTTATTATGATGAGTACTATTCAGTGCTAGTAGTGGGACTAGTAATATCCATATGACTCGGACTATTCCTATGATTAGTATGATTGATCTGACTACTTGGAGAGTCATGGGAACTTAGTAGGTTAATAACCCTTATAAGCCATAAAATTGCCCCATTATCCCATTGTTAACCTACTTCCTAAGTCCCATGACCCTCCAAGTAGTGGTAGTATTGATGCGTAAGGTTTTCAACTCATCAGACCCGAGCCGGCGCCTTCAACGCTAATCCGCATTGCAGCCCGCTGACCCTCAAACTCTATGGGAAACCAAGTGAAGGGCCAGAAATGCTTCCAATCATGCTTCCAAAGATTTCCTGCAAAGCTGCAATATCTGCAACATGTGAGCAGCTGTGCAGCAAGTTTTGAATTCTTGGAGTACGGATGGTAGTGCTCCAGGGTGTAAGCCACGGCATGACGTAGTTCCTACAACTGCCCAAAGCTCTGTCACAGATTGTTTGCAACTTATTGTTTACTCATAAACTCCAAACCCTTAGCTCTAAAGATGTTCAGTCCAAGTCGTGGGCCAGGCGTTGGCACAGGCGCTGATGACCAACACGACCCTCAAGGCGGTCTTGGTTGTGGTTTTGTGTGAGAGGGTTTACTTGCAAGAGAACAGGCGCTGTGTGCTTCCAGATGCACAGTATTGGATAGCTTCCTCCTGCCGCTGCTCCTGTCCTTATGACTGCCATCATGATTTTGGCCATTTCTGCTATTGTTACTGGCAGTATATGGCAGTTTCCCTAAACCGGGGGACCCCAATACATACCCTAAAAAACCATAATCCTTCATAATGGGACCCTCAAAATGGTACCCCTAATTTTGGGAAACCCCCATATTACTATCAAAACAATTCCTGATGCTCCGAAGGATGGTAGCGCCTAGTACTGTAAACCTTCAAGCCCTTCACCATGAACCCCTACACCCTCCTGAACCCTGGACCGTCCTGGACCTTGCAGCTTATTACTTATGTGGGAGTTTCTTGTAATCAGTAAGGGTTATATTGGGGTTGTATTAGGGCTATATTGGGATTATATTGAGGTTATATTAGGGTTATATTGGGTTATATGAGAGGGTCCTGTTTTTTGAAACCCCCGTGTAGGGTTGCCATTCAAGGTTCTCCGCCTGGAAGACAATGGTGTGGGCGACCTGGGGGCAACTGCCTTGGTCTCCGGCGCAGCAAGGCTGGGGCTGCAGCTGTGGTGTTGAGGGTGGTCTCATGCTGTGGGAACACACAACGAACTATAGACTACGAACGCACCCATCTAGAGCTGTGAGCAGAACTGAGGGTGGGGCAAGTTCCCTGTGGAATTTGGGGATTTAGGCTTGCGCAGTGTTTTTTCTTAGCCCAAACCGTGCCTTAATACCAACTAGATGCACAGGATCCCGCGCGTGAGTATTTGGTCTGGAAATCTGAGCATGGCTTGAACGGCTTTCTTTGGGGATGAGGGCAGCGCTGTCAGGGGGAAGGTGGAAAGACATGTATTAAGACTTCTGGATGAGGCTGCGGCAGCTCGAGCTCGCTTTCAACCAGGCCGACTTGGGATGAGGATATTTCAAAGCTGATCATGCAACATATCTTTGTCATCCTTGGGGACTTGCTCGCAGAAATGGGTGTAACGCCTTGAAAGCCCGATTCTGAGAATTAGCACATACAGGCAGGGGCCGTCGGCAGAACAAGCTGTTTGGGAGGCTCTTGAAACACGCCGCAAACAGCCCCAACGCATCCGTATCAACTCACCGCGAGCAAGTTCCTCGGGTGTAGGCAGCACTGGAAAGCAGACCTCTCGATGTAGTGTCTCACTATGCTACTCCTCCCACGCCACATTGTGAGAGTTTGTGTTCGCCATGGAGAAATGCAGAAACCATATTACCAAGTGGACCCGAAACGATGAGCCTGGGAAACACATGGCCTTAGGCCATCAGAGCAGGAAGCAGGGCTGGTTCGGTCGGTTGCCATCTTCGCGATGTTGCACAGACATGGCTTACAATCGGACGTCCAGTAGCCTGCCGTCTCCTGCATAATGGACAGAATTTAGGGTTTAGGGTTTAGAGGTAGAATGTGATACTTCTGATCTCAGTTGCTGAGCTGGTTTTTGACGTTCTCTGTCCGTATAAAACCAGGTGCAGCCAGGACAGCTAAGCCACCAGACACACACGCCTGACCCTTAGGCAAGGTTCCAAAGCCCAATTCCCGAAGCCAAGCCCTCCCCCCTCAATGCTTCCCGCTAAACCCACTCTGCTTGGAGGGTCATGCAGACTTACTAGGTAGATAATTGGGGACATTATATGGCTTAAAGGGTCATTAACCTACTTACTAAGTCCCCATGACCCTCCAAGTACATCCTCGCCAATGTGGCAGGTTCGATCTGAAGGTGTTTTGGCCAGCAGCAGTTTTCAGAGAGTGCCCTCAGACCCCTCATTTACAGCAACACATAATAGGAGCAACGTTAGGGACCCTGGGAATCTTGTGGTATGGGATTCCTGCAGTGAATATAACATGTGTTCTTTTTCATACCTAGAGGAGTCGGGACTAGAAAACAGACTCCTGCCTGAGTATGGGTGTATAGGTTGAATGTACATTCTTGGCCGGCCCTTGGATTTGGTTCAGGGGTGCCTTCCTCCAGGGTCGCTTCTACCACCTCAAAACGTTAGACGGTGCTTTTTGAAGATCTGATCTCAATTGCAAGAAGCGTTTGTAGCAGTTGTTGGAGCGGGGATGACGGTATTCTTGATGACGGTAGTGACACAAGATAAACAGTTTTGGTGTCACTGCATATACGACTAATGCCACATATATACATGGGACTCAAGTCAATGCATGGTCGGAAGCAGCAAGTTTAGAAACTGCTTGGCCATCAACGGTTTGTACCCCACGTCATCAGCTGACCCGCAGAAACTTTTCAGTAGGCACGGGAATACAGCAACCACTTGAACCCAGACGTCTGACCCCATACTGACCGATGCCTTGGAACCCTGAAAACTATCTCTCTCAGGGGTCCTTCGGGTAGTGTATGCACACACATAAACCCTATATGACCCATTATAGTAGTTTCCATTTTCTTTTCCATTATCCCCATATAACCCCAATATAACCCTAATATGCATTATTGGATGTAAACGGTCACTGCCGTCCTGAAAAGAGCCCAACCTGTTGGATAATAATGATAATATGGTTATATATAGCCCTTAATAGGACCCCTAATATAGACTGTTACTGGGGGGGGCAGTACCCAAGGTTTAGTATATTTAGTTCCCTAAACCCTAAACCCTATATTGGGGTCCCCCTTA